ATGCTTGGGGTGTGACCAACATCAACCATGTGAGAGGTTTATATCTCACCACCTAGGATGCTTGGGGTGTGACCAACATCAACCATGTGAGGGGTTTATATCTCACCACCTAGGATGCTTGGGGTGTGACCAACATCAACCATGTGAGGGGTTTATACCTTGCCACCAGGGTGTCCGGGTGTGAACGGCATCCCCCATCCTAAGTTGAGGTTATAGATTGGTTGGATCATGCATACACATATGATATCTACTATTAGTATAGATTTACTTAAACATGTTTTGACTTCACTTTGATCATGCATCCTCATATTGTTATTCATAATGCCTATGAAACTATTTCTTGTATTTCGATTGTGTCCTTGTCTATTGTTGTGTTGCACCACGCATACTTAGTACATTCCAAGTACTAACGCATATTTTGCCTACATGATGTCACCATGTAGGGACCGGAGCTACTCTTGATCCTTCTCTCCATTCACGTGGCTAGTACGGTGCTTATCCGAGTTATTGGTGAGTCCTCAATGATTCGAGGGCTATGTTATGTTTCCTACTCCTATGTTTTGAGACTTTAGCTTGCAATTGTATTTTGACTATGAGGGGATCCGGTAGTATGTCATGGCCCCGTCCTATCTATGTATGTAGAGGTGTGCGTTGGACAAGTATTTTGTAAATGAGCTTGACTCTTGTTCTATGATGTCATTTTGAAATGGTTTGCCCTTAGTCCCTATTTCCCGTTAATTAATGTTGAATGTACTTCCGCGACCGATGAAGTGTGATGACAAGTTTGAGAGGCTTGTTTGGGGTTCTTTCGGGTTCTTCATTCGCCATGTCACGTCTAGGCCCTAGGCTTGGGTCGTGACAAGGACCTTAGTAAAGGTTAGGTGTGTCTCTGAGATTTCGGGCATAGGCTGGGGAGGTACTTATTCATTTTCCCAAAAAGAAACAAAAAAACGTTGTGCATCAGGCATTTTAAATAAATGAATAGCAAAACTGTCCACTAATTAAAAAAAACTGTTAAATGAAAATATACTTTGTTTTTTAAAAAATAAAACTGATTTACAATATTTTTTTCCAATATAGCTTTTTAAATTATTTTTTTGGTAACTGTAATATATTATTATCAAATTTTGCAATATGTACAATGTTGGAAACTCTAGATGTGGACAACTTCCACTCTAGGTATCATACTAGCTCTACGATATATGTCTTGTATGATTACTCTAGTGATCATCTCTATGTTCTTCTTCTTGTTTTGAAATATCCTGTAGTTCCTCTCTTGCCAAATGTAGTAAATTGCTGCTGCTAGAGTCTTTCTGTAGACCTCTGCTAGTATGGTTTAAAAAAAAATTCAACATCCAAAAAAGAACAAATTTAATAGTTTAAAATTAATACTGTGTCAACCCCTCAAGTCTATCAATATATAATAGGAGATGAAAAAACGCCACATGTCAGCGCCACCAATTTTTAAAATTTGAAATAATAGATAATTTTTTTTTTATTTAAAAAAAATAAAAATTCAATTTGGACTACAAGTCCATTTTATTCATATAGAAACTTGAACTCCCAAACGGATCCGAATACATAATTCAAAAAGAAAACTGGTTGGTCCAAAAGTGTCAAGACCAAATGAGTAATAAAAGTGCCCTTTTAAGAAAGGGTTTCCTAATTGTGCTCTCCGCCTCTTACTTTTCATGTTCTTCCCACCTCCTCGAAGATTTTCTCGCTTGTTCTCTGCTTCGTTTTTGGGTGATTAACACTCTTCATCCTGATGTTGTTGGTTCTGCTGTTAAGATCAACTTTCAAAAGTAACTTTCTCTTTCCATCTCTCATATTTGTTTCTCGGCTGACTCTGCTTTGATTTTTTAATGTGTAGAGCCCGGTTTGGATGAGTTCATGATGAACATCTGAAGAGAGTACGAGCCTTCAGCTCTGCAGATTAGCTCTTGAACACTTTCTTCGCAATCTCCTAGCTGAATACAGGTAATGAATGCAAATCCGACTACCTTTCTCTTGCTTTTTGCTGGTGCCCACAACACTTTTTGCTGATTGTCATAGCATAGCATAGTTAGTTCCCGTACAACTCTTTTGCTCCTCCAATAGCTAACATCTAATTTGTATATATCATAGCTGTGGGGCCTTGTGACATCTCCTCTGTATCTAAGCATGTTAGTCGTTATTGTTGTTGTTTATTCGCCTTGTCTTGACTCTGATCGATGGGATCTGTTGTTTATCAATATTTAGAATCCTCCTGCACATGCTTGTTAATTGATTGAAAATGTGAAATTCTTGCTCCTCTACTGTATATACTGTTGTATTAGCAATACAATCTGCTAGCATATTTGCCTCACTGAAAATATGTTTAACATGGACATTCATTTGATGTATCGTCTCTTATATTTCCTCCATCTTCTCAACCAGCTTCCATGGAATTCTCCAATTCCTTATGATCATGTTTTTTAGAACTAAAGAATCTGTTTCTAGTCTTACTTGAACAAATGCTTGCCTTAAGCAAAATTGTAAACCTTTCCATATTGCATGTACTTCTGCCTCCATATTCGTAGCCAAGCCTATACTTTCTGCCTCCGCTTATATTATATCTCCCTCTCTATTTCTAATGCAAAAACCATATGCGCTCTGACCTGGATTCCCTTTACTAGCCCCATCTGTATTACATGTAATCTAACCCTCTTCTGGTGGACGCCAGCTCACAATGTGATAATAAAGAGTTGGTTTATACCTTTGCAATGTATCCACCATTTCTGTCCACTGGTGTGAGTTATGACTAAGCCAAATAAATTTAACCTTGATTAATTGGTGTATTGTCAATTGACATTGATAAAACATCCAGTTGTAAGAGGATTCCTTTCCATGTCTTCATGCGTTTCTCCGTTTCCATAATTCCCATATTATGATTGTTGGGACTGCCTTCATAATTTGCTTCAGTTTATTTGACGCCTTGTCTTCCCACCATTTGAAGATGAGTTGTTGAAGGTTCAACCCGTCAATGCAAATACCTACACAGGAAGCAAACTGCTTCCATAGCTTTTGGGCTGTGGGAGATATTAGTAATAAGTGAGACATTGTTTCCTGTTCTTCATTCTCGCAACAATAGCATTTCGATACCATTTGTATCTTCATCCTTTTAAGATTGTCATCCGTGGGGATTCGCCTTCTCCATACCCTCCATAAAAAGAACGCAATCTTAAAAGGAAGCCCCTTGCTCCACATACTTGTACTCCATTTAAATTCGGCTCTTTTATTCCTGAGAATGTTAAAAGCTGATTTGACAGAGAAACTCCCTCCTGTGTTACCAGTCCACCAAGCCCTATCAATACTGGCTGGTTGCACATTAAGTTTAATATTCTCTATTATATGCTGATACATTTCTTTGGATACTGCTGCCTTCAATTTACCTTCATTCCAAACCCCGTTAGTAAAAATTTCTCTGACTTCTATTTCCTCCTCTTTTGCCATATCTCCTTCTGTATAGAAAAGAGCCCCTTGTCTAGTCCAGTTATCAAACCAGAAACTCGAATTTCCAGCTTTGATTTGCCACCAAATATCATGTTTCACATCCTCCCTAACATTGATCATTTTTTCCCATACATGTGATGCTCCAGTACTCTTGGCAATGACAGGATGCACTTTAAAAAAATAACAACGTCAGTTACATAAGTCTTTAAATGAATTTTGAATATTATATACCTAATTAAATAATTATATATATAATATAAAATTTAAAGAACAATTGAAAAAATAAAACATTTAAGAACAAAAAACATAAATTAAAAACAGTTTTTAAAATTTGTCTACGTTAACTACATTAATTCTCACAAACTAATTGTATCACATTATTTATTTATAATATCAAATTAAAATCAGTTTTAAATTTATGTAATTGGATTCCTAAAATATAGGTAACTGATTAAGATTTTTTTTTCTTCCTTATTAAAACTTCATAATATAAATTATTTTAATTTTATAAATCAAAATTTAATTAATTTTTTTTACAAACTCACAAATAACGGATGCCACTAAAATAGTAAATAAATCAGGTTTTTGGACAATTAAAATTAAATATCTGTTACAAATCCACTTAATTGTGTGGATGTTTCTCTTAATCTATCCTAACGTAATGTATCCATTTAGTATATTAATTAAATATTATAGTAACGTATTGTCAAATGTTGTAAAAGGATGATTTAAACATCCTATAAAAGGTAGTCTTCATCCTTAGGAAATACATACTTGAAGAGTATTAAATAATATTCTCCCCTCTATACTTCTCATCACAATTTGTCTTCCTTACTTGTTTAGTATTATTATATTTTGCTCTCATTTTACAACACGTTATCAGCACGAATCTCTAACCAATTAAGACCTACTTAATTCGGAATTATCTTTTTCCCTAAAAAGTTAATCAATTTTCTTTCCGAGTCAGGTATACATTTATATGTTTATAACATATCTAATAGGACTTACATAAGTCTTTGATCAACGATTTAATTACTGCATATATAACTTGCTTTAGGTATTTGTATGATACTTTACTAGGCATAATAATCAATACGTTTCAGGTTTATATTTTTATGTTGTTTATATGCTAGTAACTTATAACTCTAAATTAAATACTAGGATATATGATAACATGCTAGTTAGAATAATCGTAAGTATTTTAATTTCTTGTCATAAATTTATGATAAATATTGGTGTGTCATAAAGAATAATAGTATTATATTAAATATAACTTAAAATCTTACGGTAGCTTTGGCGTTAATAACTATTGAACTAGTAATAAATATAGTAAAATAATTAATTAGAATATATATTAAATTTACTGTTTCATACTTTATGAGTTTACATGCTTTTGTAACATCCCATATTCATGCATATGATATATTTTATACTAATTCTTAATCATTTGAAATATTAATTTATCTTTCATTATAAAGAAATCAAAATCATGTTATTAACTCAACTATTTTATGATAGTTTTCATCATGTCGAATTTATCAAAGCTTGAATTTGTGGCACTTGACATTTCTGGAAAGAACTATTTATCATGGGTACTTGATGCTGAAATTCACCTTACCGCTAAGGGTCTTGGTGATTGTATAATCGAAGGAAATAAGGCATCAAGTCAGGATAAAGCGAAAGCTATGATTTTCCTTCGTCATCATCTTGATGAAAGCCTGAAGGTTGAATACTTAACAATGAAAGATCCACTTGAATTGTAGATAGGTTTGAAAGGGAGGTATGACCACCTCAAGGCAACGGTATTGCCAAGGGCTCGTTATGAGTGGATGCACTTACGATTTCAAGATCATAAAACCGTAATTGAGTATAACTCTGCTGTATTTAGAATCACTTCCCAATTAAAATTATGTGGGGAAGTTATAAAGGATAAGGACATGTTGGAAAAGACACTAACTACTTTTCATGCCTCCAATATGATATTACAGCAGCAATACCGTGAAAAGGGTTTTAAAAAATACTCTGAATTAATCTCATGCCTTTTGGTGGCTGAGCAACATAATGACCTTTTAATGAAAAATCATGAAGCTCGTCCCACTGGAAGTGCTCCATTACCGGAGGCCCACGGGGTAGAAGCACACGGCCAGTCTGAAATAAGACAAAATAATCGGGGCCATGATAATGTGCGTGGACGTGGCAAAGGCAAAAGACGATATAATAATCGTCGAGGTGGTGGTCATAACAAAAGGGAGAACAATATGGGTTCTCAAAATAATCCTTCAAAAGGCAAGGGCGATCACTGTCATCGTTGTGGCCTTAAAGGTCACTGGAAAAATGAATGTCGGGCACCTGAGCATTTTGTTAGGCTGTATCAAAATTCCTTTAAAAGGAAAGGGAATAAAGGTGGTGCCTCCTCTTATAATGCCCGAGTGGAGTCACATTTGACTCTCAAAGATGATGCTCAGGCAGGGTCTTCTCAAAAATATGATGAGAATGTTGAGGCGAATTTAGCATTGAAAGATGATGCTTTTGATGGGCTCGATGATATTACTCATCTAGAAGCTGAGGACTTCTTCGGGGATCGCAACTGAAGATTGATAATTAAACTGGAAAATGAATAATGTTTTTTTTTATGTATTTTTAATGTCTTCATTAAAGTTTATGTACTTAAGATTTTTTTTTGTTAAATTTCGTACTTCTTATTATGTATTTTTATTTTTATGAAGATGAATAAATTTTTCCAGTCTTCAGTTGGATCCAATATGAGTAATGGAGATATGTGCCTTCTGGACAGTGCCACAACTCATACGATACTAAGAGAAAAGAAATATTTCTCTCATTTGGTAATGAAAAAGGCATATGTTAATACAATATCCGGTAGTACAAAATTGATTGAGGGTTCTGGAAGAGCAACCTTATTACTACCTGGAGGAACATTATTGGTAATTGATAATGCATTGTATTGTAGTAAGTCTCAAAGAAACTTGTTAAGTTTCAAGGTTATTCGCCAAAATGGCTATCATGTTGAGACTGCGAATGAAGGAAAGGTTGAATACCTTTATATTACTACAATAAATGCAGAGAAGAAAATTGTGCATGAAAAATTGTCTGCACTTTCTTCTGGGTTGTACCATACAAATATTGGTACAGTTGAATCACATGCCGTGGTAAACAAAAGGTTTACTGGTTCTAATGATTTTATCATTTGGCATGACCGGTTAGGCCATCCCGGTTATAATATGATGCGCAGAATAATTGAAAATTCACATGGACATACTTTGAAGAACCAAAATGTTCTCAAATCAAAGGAATTTTCTTGTGCTGCTTGTTCACAAGGAAAGTTGGTTATCAAACCATCAGTGGCTAAGGTTGGGATGGAATCCCCTGCATTTTTGGAACGGATACAGGGTGACATATGTGGACCTATTCACCCTGCTTGTGGACCATTTAAATATTATATGGTCTTGATAGATGCATCTACAAGATGGTCTCATGTATGCTTATTATCAACTCGCAATATGGCTTTTGCGAGGTTGTTGGCTCAAATAATAAGGTTAAAAGCACAATTTCCAGATTATGCAATAAAAACAATTCGTCTTGATAATGCTGGTGAATTTACATCTCAGGCATTTAATGATTATTGTTTGTCCATGGGAATAACAATTGAACATCCTGTTGCACATGTTCATACTCAAAATGGTTTAGCAGAGTCATTGATTAAACGTCTTCAATTAATAGCTAAACCATTGTTGATGAGAATAAAGTTGCCCGTTTCTGTTTGGGGGCATGCTATTTTGCATGCAGCGGCACTTGTGCGCATAAGGCCAACCAGTTATCATGATATCTCCCCATTACAATTGGTTTTTGGTCAGGAGCCAAACATTTCCCATCTTAGAATATTTGGTTGTGCGGTATATGTTCCAATTGCTCCACCACAGCGCACAAAGATGGGTCCCCAAAGAAGGTTGGGGATATATGTTGGGTATGAATCTCGTTCTATTATAAAATATTTGGAATCTAGAACTGGAGATTTATTTACGGCAAGGTTTGCTGATTGTCATTTTGATGAATCAGTATACCCAACATTAGGGGGAGAACAAAAGCAGTTGGGAAATGAGATAGATTGGAATTCACTTTCACTGTCTCATTTAGACCCTCGAACAAATCAATGTGAGCTGGAAGTTCAAAAGATAATTTATTTGCAGAATATTGCAAATCAACTGCCGGATGCATTTACTAACCTTCCACGGGTTACTAAATCATATATCCCAGCTGCTAATGCTCAAGTTCGAGTTGATATCCCGATAGGACAAAATGTTAAGGCAAATGAGTCTGGACCACGCTTAAAGCGTGGTAGACCAATTGGTTCCAAGGATAAAAATCCTCGGAAAAGGAAAGGAATAAATGATCATAATATGGAGGCAATTGCGCATGAAGAGCTCCGAGACATAATAAATGATGACACCAAAGAGGAGGTCCATGTACCAGAAAATAATGAGAATGAGGAAATCTCTATAAATTATGTCTCAACAAGAAAAATATGGAATCGAAATAATATTGTGGTGGATAATATTTTTGCCTATAATGTTGCAGTTGAAATAATGCAACAAGATGAGGATTCAGAGCCAAGATCTGTCAATGAATGTAGACAGAGAAATGATTGGCCAAAATGGAAGGAAGCAATTCAAACAGAATTGGCTTCACTTAAAAAACGTGAAGTTTTTGGACCAATAGTCCGAACACCTGAAGGTGTCAAGCCAGTGGGGTACAAATGGGTTTTTGTGCGAAAATGCAATGAAAATGGTAAAGTCGTAAGATATAAAGCACGACTTGTGGCACAAGGATTTTCGCAAAGACCTGGCATTGATTATGAGGAGACATATTCTCCTGTGGTAGATGCAATTACCTTCAGGTATCTAATAAATATGACTGTTCATAAAAAGCTTGAAATGCAACTAATGGACGTTGTCACAGCCTATTTATATGGCTCACTAGACCACAATATTTTTATGAAAATCCCTGAAGAACTCAAAGTGCCTGAAGCATATGAAAATTCAAAAGAAAGTTGTTCAATAAAGCTTCAGAAATCCTTATATGGATTGAAACAATCAGGGCGAATGTGGTATAATCGTCTTAGCGAATATTTGCTAAAAGAAGGGTATAATAATGACCCTATTTGTCCTTGTATTTTTATACGAAGGTCAAAATCTGAATTTGTAATAATATCTGTTTATGTTGATGACTTGAACATCATTGGAACTCCTACAGAGCTTTCAAAAGCCGTTGAGTGTTTGAAAAAAGAATTTGAAATGAAAGATCTTGAAAAGACAAAATTTTGTCTTGGCCTTCAGATTGAACATTTGAAAAGTGGAATATTTATCCATCAATCAACATATACTGAAAAGGTTTTGAAGCGATTTTACATGGATAAATCACACCCATTGAGTACCCCGATGGTTGTGAGATCTCTCGATATAAATAAAGATCCATTCCGACCTCAAGAAAAGGATGAAGAGATTCTTGGTGATGAAACACCATATCTTAGTGCTATTGGGGCACTAATGTACCTGGCCAACAATACCCGACCAGATATTTGTTTCGCAGTAAGTTTATTGGCGAGATTCAGCTCATGTCCAACAAGAAGACATTGGAAAGGTGTTAAGCATATATTCAGATATCTTCAAGGAACAATTGATATGGGATTGTTGTATTCTAATGCATCCAAGTCAAAATTGATCGGTTATGCAGATGCTGGCTATTTGTCTGATCCACATAAAGCTCGATCTCAGACAGGCTATTTATTCACATATGGAGGTACGGCTATATCATGGCGTTCGATGAAGCAAACAATAGTTGCTACTTCTTCAAATCATGCAGAGATAATAGCCATTCATGAAGCCAGTCGAGAGTGTGTATGGTTGAGATCAATGACTCAACACATTTTGCAATTATGCGGTCTTTCTGTGCAAACAAAGACTCCAACAATACTGTATGAAGATAATGCTGCTTGCATAGCTCAATTAAAGGGAGGATATATCAAAGGAGACCGAACAAAGCATATTTCACCTAAGTTCTTTTTCACACATGATCTTCAACAAAATGGTGAGATAAATGTTCAACAGATTCGTTCGAGTGATAATCTTGCAGATTTATTCACTAAGGCATTGCCAACGTCAACATTTGAGAAGCTAAGATATAAGATTGGAATGCGTCGTCTCCAAGATATCAAATAAATTTTTCATCAGGGGGAGTAAAATACGCGTTGCACTCTTTTTCCCTTAGCCAAGGTTTTGTCCCATTGGGTTTTCCTGGTAAGGTTTTTAATGAGGCAACACTCAAGGCGTATTACAAGATGTGTGTACTCTTTTTCCTTCACTCGGCTTTTTCCCACTGGATTTTTCCTAGTAAGGTTTTAACGAGGCACATTATCTATAAACATCCAAGGGGGAGTGTTACAAATCCACTTAATTGTGTGGATGTTTCTCTTAATCTATCCTAACGTAATGTATCCATTTAGTATATTAATTAAATATTATAGTAACGTATTGTCAAATGTTGTAAAAGGATGATTTAAACATCCTATAAAAGGTAGTCTTCATCCTTAGGAAATACATACTTGAAGAGTATTAAATAATATTCTCCCCTCTATACTTCTCATCACAATTTGTCTTCCTTACTTGTTTAGTATTATTATATTTTGCTCTCATTTTACAACAATATCTACAATTATATTAAATAAAACAAGTTTTAATTTTAAAAACAAAATAGAAACTAAACATGCAGTTAACTGAAAGCCCTTTTTAATATTACGAAATTTCAAAATAAAAATAAATAAATATATATATGCTGATGTGGCATGCTTCTAAGGCCAGCATTCACATTTATCTTTTTTTTTTTGACATTTATTCTATTTTTTCTATCTAATTTAATGTAAAATGTCTAAAAATTAAATAGTGGAATGTTACCTATAAACTGAAAAGACTCATAAATTATGTCATTTAACAACTAGAAAGCCCAAAAGTCATCATGTGAAATATAAGAAGGAATCGCACTGTTGGCTCATCCAATGCATTATGTCAATTTTTGTGATGTTCTGGAGTTAGCACCATGGTCGACAGGTAATTTTTTTTTTTCAAAATCTATTCGAATTGAAAATCTAAAATAGTTACAAAATCTATTATAAAAATGTGTTTCGTAAATTTTGTAGCCAATAACAGGTTTACATGTCTCTTTGTGTTGTTCTGGAGTTCCACCATGGTTGACACTTGACAGGTAATTTTTTTTTTAAAAAAATACACTATTGAAAATTGAAAATTTTAAAATAATTATAAATAAAAACGTGTTTTTGAAAATTTTGTAGTCAATAACAGATTTACATGTCTCTAGTTATTTTAGATCCCTTATGCCTATTCTATTTTAGTTCTTAAAATGTTTGTGTTTAACTCAATAACATAATAACAAACAATAATATGTTTGAAGCAGTGTTGTTGTCTCGCCGAGATAAAGCACAAGTGGTGTAGATTTAATGAACTTCGCAAGCATGAAAGCTCCTTTGCTATATCAAGCCATAGTTAACATTCTGTTATTTGCCCTTTTTTCTTTGAAAAGTTAATTCTATTTTTTTGGGTTTTTTTTTGCTTCAATTTAAAAGGAGCGAAAAAACTCTACTAATAAATATAAAATTACATATCTTTTGAGCGAGGAAACACATATAATTTATTTGGAATATTATTCTTGATTTATTTTTTTCCTTTTGGAATATGTTTTCATTTAATTTCTACTAATAGTTTTTACCTAAATAATTTTCTTTTGCAGTTTATTTTCCAAGAATGCTATTTAATTTTTTATAAACCTTTTTTGCTAATATTTATCAATTTTTTAAAAAACTTTCATTTAGTGTTCATTGTCGAATCGGATGAATAATCAGTATATAAATACTAATATCAGCCAAATAAAAAATAATGAGTATTTTATAAAGTTGGATGTGAATTCATTGGGTGATCTGACATTTCTTTGGCTAAAATTACATTTATCTTCTTTTTTTCTTTATTTTTATGTGTTAATGTGACGATGAATGACACAATTATTAGTACTCCACTTTAAATTTTCCTTATTGCACATTTTATGTGTTGCTTTTTGGTCCATTTCTTTTTCACTCTCAATAGACTTTTGCCCGTTATTTAATTACAATTAATACATTGAATATTGATTCCATTATAACTCCTAAATGTACATATTTATTTAATTATTTCTGTAATTATTTAATATTTGTAACTCATTTATTGTGATTGAGTCTTTTTATCTTCATTTTGCTTATTTGCATTTTTATCATATTTTGATGGAGATATTTAATTGTTTAGCCTTAGAAAAAGATGATAAGACTTCTTCAAGTGAAGAATGAAGACAAAAGTTGTAACTAGCTAAAAAATTGCAAATGATGTCAATAACGGGTGAATAGGTAATCTAGAATACGTTTTTGACGCCCGTGGAAGACTTTATGTATTTGTAATTTCTTTGGACAAAAACACTGTTACTTCAATGTAATTAATTCTATTTATCCTATTTTTAATTATTGTTTTGGTGATTTATTAATATGTTTTGACTAATAATAATATTTTTGGTCTCCACGGGGTGAAATTTTGTAGAATGACTTTCTTGATGCAAAATGCAAATATTAAAGTATCAATCATCTATTTTATGTTTCACACTTTTGTCACATTGTAAATTCTTAAGTTAATCTCAACCATCGTCATAAATTCATTAAAAATTATAGGTTCATAAATTACGAGTTTCATATGTATCAATAAAATTCTTCAAAAAACTTATATATCATGACATTGACCGAGGAGCGACAGGAAAATAGAAAAATATGTAATTTTTTAAGTTAAAAAATGGAGAAATTAGAAATTTTACTACTAAGAATGGTGTTCCATCTTGAATTTTTAATGAATCGCAAGAGGAGGGAGCATACTCAACCTCATTATGGGTGCTTTTGGATTTGAAGACTAAAAGTATATGCTTAAAAGGGGTTGTTTGGTGTATTACAACTTCATCTATATGCGAAATTCGAGGAAGGAATGAACCACAAGAGTTTATTGCATGTGGTCTGTCTTACATTTCTGCAAGAGGCTATTTTCACGACTTGAAACTGTAAAAATTTGCAATTCATATGCAATTCTTCAAATATTTAGGTATTAAAAAGAATACTTATTCATAAATGCAGTAAAGCTTTTCATAACCGCGCGAAGCGCGAATACGTTTACTAGTACTATTTATAAACTCACTTCCCCTAAATTTCCTCTCGAGTTCACACTTTTCCCAATTTCAATATATTTTTAAAATAAATTAATTTTAAAATTTTTTGTTTTGAAAATTTTCTTATTTAATGTTAAAATTTTGTTGTTTTGAAAATTTCCCTTTAATTTTATGTGTATACACTAATTCATTTACTATAAAAAGTCTATGACACACACACACACACATATATATATATATAGCAATATTATCTATTTAATGTAAATTTTTATTAAATTGGATTAAATAAATGCATAGATAATACTTTCTTGAATTTATTTTATAATTAAACGTATGATTAATAGTATATTATAACAAATACATGATTTGCATTATTCAAATATATCTTATTTTTATAGGGATAAGGATCTGAAAAATATTCCAACTTTGGTCAGATTTGTTGTTACGATACTAATTTTCATAAGGACCTATTACCTCCCTAGACTATTTAATACCGTATTTTTTACCCCATGAACTATTTAATAATGTATTTCAAAGGTATATATTTGCCCACGTGGACACATTACTATTTATAATTTTGCATTATTTTTTATTTCCACGTGGATAAATATACATGTTTAAAATCCGATATTAAATAGTCTAGGGAGGTAATAGATTCTCATGAAAGTTTAGTATCGCAACAGCAAATTCGACTAAAGTTGAGGTATTTTTCAGACCCTTATCCCTATTTTTATTTAATCTAATGAACAAAATATCTATTAGAAAAATTTATCAACAAAATATTTATATAATTATTAATTTTACTTTATAACCCTATATACATGTGACAAATGACAAATCAAGGTGTACAACGATGAACTTTTTTAAATTTGTTATAAGTTGAACTTCAAAAAATACGTTAAAATTATCAAGAATTTAAAAATATTTATTTCAAATTACTCACAAAAAATAAAAGAATATCTCTAATTTATATTCATGAATTCAAATATCATTTTCACTTTAAACAAAATAATAATTATTTTTTTCAAATTTTATAATGAATGAGGAATAAACCGCCCTAAATAACATGCTTTCAGTAGGGACATTCGGGTCACAAATGCATGTTTTTAGTAGGACATTCGGGTCGGGTTGAATTGATTGAGAGACTATCTTTTCATGTCCTTTGTTGATGCTAAGCTAAGTTGTAAAAAGCAAAGCATAAATTACAGAAAGACAAAAGGGAGAATTCACCATCAACTTTCTTATCAGGTTCTCTCTTCCACCTCTATTTGTTTTTTTTTGTGTGTTTTTTGTCAAAGGTTATTTTATACTGTTTTCAGTTTCTTGAATAATGAAATAATTTCCCAGGTCCAAGATTATTCAGTTGTTCTTCTATTTGAATGGTGTTAAGTGGGTTATCAGCTTTAAATCTTTACTATATGGAGTAATAGTGACTTAGAGATGATACTGACAATCAGCTGTGGCAGAGGCACGATTTCACTTAGGGGTTCAACACTACTCTTTATACATACATAAAAAGAAAATTGATCTTGAATATACCGTGTGCCTTTCCGGCGAACCCTGCTTGTCCTTGACCATCAGGAATTTTGTGCATGTCCATTTGAATTACAGAATTGGAAGTAATAATAATGATTAGGGGGAAGAGAGAAAAATAAAAGATAGAGACTCTGTGATTGGAATGTGAATGATACAATTACAGTGAATAGTGAATTACAGAGAAATTCCAGGAGTAATCTCGAGGAATATGAACAGCTAGTTCCAGGATTAAACCCGAGAAATCAGCTAAAGAGAAAAAATATAGAGAGAAGAGAACAATCTTATTATCAATGAATGAATGAATGTCAATGATCTAATACAATCCTTTTATAGGCTCCTAGAGATTGCTAAAACAGTTAAAATCCACAGCTACAATAATAACAAAATTTAGCCATCTAACAGTGCTAACTGTTCTAACTAACTTCTGGACTTGTTAACAGAATTTGCCATATCAGCGATTAGTTATCGATTAGTTCTCCTTTTGCTAACTTGTATCAATACCCCTCCGTAAAGAACAGACTTGTCCTCAAGGCTGAAAAGAGGGAAATCTATGTTGCAATTCAGAAAGATATTCCCAAGTTGCCTGATCAGCTTCCAAACCTAACCACTGGACAAGCACTTGACACACAACTTTGTTACCCTTCTTAACCAACCTCCTCTCAAGTATAGCTTCAGGCGTCGGACAGTAGGGACTGGAAAGCTGTAGGACTGCAGGATGAGAAATGTCCCGAGGCACCTCATGGCATCTCTTGAGCTGAGAAACATGAAAAATGGGATGGATCAACACATCAACAGGAAGCAACAATTTATAGGCCACTGCACCAACCCGTGCGTCAATGATATAGGGGCTATAATACTTTGCTGCTAGCTTGTTGAAAGGTCGAGCAGCCACTGAAACTTGTCTACAAGGTTGCAGCTTCAAATACACCCCGTCACCAACTGCAAATACCCTGTCTGATCTATGTTTGTTAGCCAAGTCCTTCATCCTTTGTTGTGCCCGACTGATTTGAAACTTAAGCAACTCAATAATTGCCTCTCTTGCTTCCAAGGACCTGTCAACCATCTCGTTAGCAGCTTCTCCAACCAAATAAGGGAGATGAATAGGTGGTTTTTGACCATAAAGAACTTCAAAGGGCGTGCATCTGATAACAGTGTGATAAGTGGTATTATACCACCACTCTGCAAGTGGTAGATAGGAGGGCCAAAGCAGAGGTTTATCTGAGCAATAATACCTCAAATAGGTTTCCAAAGTTCTGTTCAGTACTTCAGTTTTCCCATCAGTCTGGGGTGATATGCAGTAGATCGTTGCAACTGAACTCCTTGTAGAGTGAACAACTCCTTCCAAAATGAGCTGAGGAAAACAGGATCCCTATCACTCGTTAAGGTAACAGGCATACCATGGAGTTTAAAGACGTGATCTAAGTAACACTGAGCTACATCTTAGGCAGTATAAGGATGCTGCAAGCTTATGAAATGGCCACATTTACTAAGCCGATCCACAACCACTAATATCACATCCTTGCCCTTAGCTTTAGGGAGACCTTCAATAAAATCAAGACACACATCAGTCCACACCCCTTTAGGAATGGGCAGGGGTTGTAACAACCCTGGGTAAGTAGCAACATCATACTTGTGCCGTTGGCAAACATCACACTTGTGGATAAAGTTTCTAATATCCTGAACAAGAGACTTCCAAGAAAATAATGATTGAATTCTTCGGATAGTTGCATCCATTCTAGAATGCCCACCTTGAGGTGTAGAGTGCCATAGTGTAATGATGGTATTCCTCAACTGCGTATCATGTCCAACTACTAGTCTACCCTTCCATCTGGTTGGTCATTGCACCAAGTAAAGTACATGAAAGGTTGAACCTGCAACTTAACAATCAACTCTCGCAATGTAGCATCTTATGTCCAAGTGTCCTTGATCTATTGGTACAACGTATCATTAGGAGTATGAAGTGAAATAGCTAATAGCTCAACATTAGGCTTCCTGGATAAGGCATCAACAGCCTTATTCTCAGAGCCCTTCTTGTACTCTATGGAAAAATCAAAAGCCATCAACTTTGATATGCCAGCCACCTGAAAGTCTGTATGAATATGTTGGTTGAGTAAATGTTTCAGAGCCTTTTGATCTGTCCTCACCACAAAGGATCTGCCCAACAGGTAGTGAGACCACTTAGTGACAGCAAAAATAAGTGCCAATAACTCCCTAACATACACTGACAAGGCCTGGTGCCTCGGTGCCAAGGATTTACTAATGTATGCAATAGGCTGTCCCTGTTGCATTAGCACAGCTCCAATACCTCTACCACTAGCATCTGTCTCCACTACGAAAGGCAAGGAAAAATCTGACATAGCAAGTACTGGGGCAGAAATCAAAGCTTGTTTCAGTGTCTCAAAAGCGGTAGTCGCATCACCTGTCCACACAAACCCTTCCTTCTTTAATAAGTCCTGCAATGGTCTACGTATGCTTCCAAACCCTTGGATGAATCTCCTGTAGTATCCTTCAAGCCCCAAGAATACTCTCAATAGTTTGATATTACTTGGTATTGGCCAATGTTGCACAGCCGTAATCTTTTTGGGATCAGTTGACACCCCCTCAGCACTAATAAAATGCCCCAGATATTCCACCTTATCCACTGCAAAAGCACACTTTGACATCTTTGCATACAACTGATATTGTTTCATCAAATCAAATATAGCTTTCACATGAACTAAATGAGCATTAATAGCTTTGCTATAAATCAGAATATCATCAAAGAATACCAATACTGATTTCCTCAACAATGATTTAAAGATTGCATTCATCAAACTCTGAAATGATGAAGGTGCATTGGTACCAAAGGGCATAACCAAAAATTCATAGTGACCTTCATGAGTTTTAAAAGCTGTTTTGTAAGCATCCTCTTCAGCCATTCTTAATTGATGATAACCTGCCCTGAGATCAATTTTAGAAAAAATTACAGCTCCACCTAACAACTCATCCAACAAGTCTTCAATGATAGGTATCGGAAACTTATCCTTAATTGCCATCTGATTCAAATCTCTGTAATCAACACAGAGTCTCCAACTTCCATCTTTCTTACCAACTAACACTACTGTAGAAGCATAAGGGCTAGTACTGTGTTGCACCACACCTTGATCCAACATCTCTTGTACTAATATTTCAATGACATCTTTTTTAATTCCCGGATACCTATAGGGTCTCTTGTTAACAGGATTTGCTTTGTCAATGAGGGGAATTCTATGATCAAAAGAACCTCTGTGAGGTGGTAATGTAGTTGGCAATTCAAATAAGCAGGAGTACTGACTAATTAGTGCAGCAAATGATGGCAAAATTCCCTCACCTTGAATGGCTTGAATGTTGTGACACTGCGAGACTTCTACTGTCTGAAGTACATGTGAGAACATGAACAACTGCCCCTCCTTAGCTAAGGTCTAGCTTTAACAGACTTCAGACCAGTGCTAGCCCCTCTTAATACATGTTTTTTTCCCTTGTAAACAAACTCAATGGACCTATGTTTAAAATCAAACAAAATTCTGCCCAATGTATTCAACCATTGTACTCCTAAGACTATATCCACATTTCCCAATGGTAAAAGAAAAAAATCAGAAGAGAATGTGGTGCCCTGTAGTAGCCAGTGAAGATTCTTGCAAATAGCAACCCAACTTTGCAGCCACTTGTTAATCTATAAAGTTGTGAGTGCTCCCAGTATCAATCAAGACTTGCAGTGGTTGTTTTTCATGGTATCCTCAATCCTGTTACTATTATGGTTTGATAACCAGTGACCCCTGTAAAAGCCTGTAATGATATAGCCATAAATTCATCCGTCTTCTCCCACACCTCTTCTATCTGTTCCTTTTCTAGTTCAACATTTAATTCTTCTTCCTCAACTACTTCGACCAGATACAGTGTTTCCTTCCCCTGCAGTTATGTCCCTTCACATATTTTTCATCACAAAAGAAACACAACCCTTTGGATCTCCTTTCATCCATCTCTGCTGCCGATAACCTTTTAGTAACACCATTATTAGGGAATCTATTAATCCTATTAGGTGCAGATTCAAGGGGTTTCGTGAATGTGGAATTGGAACAAGAATTTCTTTGGGAATACTGAGGTTTAATATGGGCAGGCGTGGGTAATATAGGACCTTGGACTTTAGGAAAAGATTTGATTCCCCAAGCTTGAGCTTGAGCTTCAAACACCTCCTCTTGCAACCTAGCTACCTTATAGGCTTGCAACAAAGTTTTTGGAGCATGTATTCTAATAGAATTGTTCAACTCCCTCTTCAGACCTCCCAAAAACCAACTAATGGCATTTTCATTGGAGAGATTAAGTCCAGTTAATAACCTATCAAACTCAGCCTGATACTCCCTCACACTACTGGTTTGTTGTAAGTTCTTTAGGGCTTTCATGGGATCTTCAAAACCCTCTCCAAACCTTTCATTCAATGCTAACACAAATTCAGTCCAAGATGGATCTAAAACCTAGTTTCTAGACCTAATGTAGGACTTGTGCCATGCCATAGCTTCACCTTCAAAGTGGATAGAAGCCACCTTCACCCTCTGCTCAAAAGGTATTTCATCCATGGAGAAGAAGTGATCAACTTTGTACAACCAATTTCTTAACTCACCACCAGAAAAACGAGGGAATTCTAATCTAGAGTAACGATTGAAAAACGTACTATTGTAGTTAGGATCATTACCGGTATGCATATCATTGAATCGAGCTCCTTGCGGCGTTTCTCCTAAACAATCTCGACCAGAATTAGATTCTGCCCTTGCTGGATCCTTTTCTTTCCCCTTCTGATTCAAATACCCAATTGCTTCCCTGTTTTCTAGCAATTCCTTATCAGCCTGTGCATTGCAATCGTTCATAATAGACATTCCTTCCATCAATTTTTGTAACTGGGTCTGAATCTGGTGAAGCTTGTCCTCTGCTTCCTCTTGACTTTTGCTGCGCGTCATCAGATCAATGCCAAGGATTGCTTGCTCTGATACCAATTGATACAATTACAGAGAATTACAGGGAAATTCCAGGAGTAATCTCGAGGAATATGAACAACTAGTTCAGGGATTAAACCCAAGAATTCAGCTAAAGAGAAAAAATATAGAAAGAAGAGAACAATCTTATTATCAATGAATGAATGAATGTCAATGATCTAATACAATCCTTTTATAGGCTCTCCTAGAGATTGCTAAAACAGTTAAAATCTACAGCTACTGTAATAACAAAATTTAACCATCTAACAGTGCTAACTGTTCTAACTAACTTCTGGACTTGTTAACAGAATTTGCCACATCAGCGATTAGTTATCGATTAGTTCTCCTTTTGCTAACTTGTATCAGTGAATGGGGTAAAAATAGATGTGACTTTCATTATTAGACTTGGATACTATATCATGTACTCGACTAACAAAAAATGGTAATTGGTGCCATAAACACTAAGATTTCTGATCCTTATATACCTTTAAGTATGAGCTCATTGTTCAGAAGATGCAAGTGACGGAAATGAGGATGTTGAGATGGATTTGTGGGCATATTAGGAACGATAGAATTAGGAAGATATCAACAACAAAGTGGGAGTGGCCTCCGTGGTGGACAAGACGAGGGAAGGGAAACTGAGATGGTTTGGATATGTGAAGAGGAGATATGCAGATGCCTTAGTAAGGAGCTATGAGAGGTTGGATATAGTGGAGTTGATGAGAGACAGAGATAGGCTGAAGAAATATTGGGAGAAGGTGATTAGGCAGAACATGACGCATCTTCGGCTTACCAAGGACATGACCTTAGATAGGAGGGTATGGAGGTCGCATACTAGTGTAAGATGTTAGTAAGTAGTGGATGATTGTTTTTGCTTTTCGAGGGTTTATGCCCATCGACTTTTGTCGTTGTACTAGCCATATTATTGTAGTTCTTGCTTTTGATATCTTATCATTGACTGTTGTTTAGTGTGTTTCGATTATCACACTATTTTGTTGTGTCTTTTCCTTTCCTCTAGGCTTTTCACTGCTTCCCTTGTTAGTTGCTATGTTTTCTACATTGTTTTCTTGTTCTTTGTACTTGGATTTCTTGTTCTTGAGCTGAGGATCTTTTGGAAACAGCCTCTCTACTTCCACGAGGTAGTAGTAAGGTTTGCCTACACGGCACCCTCCCCAGACCCCACTTGTGTGATTTCATTGGACATGTTGTTATTGTACTAATGCAGACCTTTGCATACTCTGGTTAGTAATGCAGGCCTTTAAGAAAAACAGAGTGAAGAGTCTGATTATTCCTACATGTTGTGGAAACCTTTTTTGGATTACACTTTTTGCATGGCTTGCTGCATTGAGCTGTTAATATATGATACCTAGAGTAGCATAAGCTTGCTTCTAGTGTTTAGTGTTGCTAGGTAACTGTTGCAAATCTGAACACGTCTGACTTCTGTTTTGAATTCCTTGCAGTTTATGGCTGGTGGGGTATGTTTCCAGACTAATGTGCATACAGTTTCACAGACTTCTCCTTCTCCGGGAATCTCCTTGATACATAATTTTCCTCATGAAGCTGAAATCTCAAGTGTCTCAAGTACTGATTCATCAAGTGGTCCGTCAAATTATTCACGCAATGTGCAGGTAGCATTTGGACCTCTCAATGATGTACATATAGTAAGTACTCAATTTATTATGCCTTCTGAAATATAACACACAGTAACCTAAATACTTTGCTTCAACTATTTCCTCCCATGGTACCAAAGCCCAGGGTGCCGTGCAGAGCGTACAAGGTCATGCATGATAATAAATCCTTGACGAGGTAACACTTGTTTTTTTCCTTAGCCGACAAGGTTGATGGAGAATTTTCTGGAAATCGCCAGCGACAACACTAAGAAGGATATAGAGACCTGTGGAGTTCTTGGTGCCATCATTGTAAGATCACTAGTATTCATTTTGCTTTCTGGAATGATACTTTTAAGACCATCGTTGAATGATGAGGAACACCAAGTGCTCTAGATTTTGCATTTTTCATGACTGGTTATGGAAATTTTAAGTGATGCATTGTACCCTTCGGGGTGGCCCTGTGGCTTGGGTTTGGGACTTCCAAGTTGGAGGTCTCAAGTTCAAAACCCCTTGCCAACGAAAGCAAGGGGTTTTCCTTCTGGGTCAAGCTCGTCGCACCAGGCTTGCCTAGTGCGGGTTACCTCTCCTGCGTGGTTTGCGAGCTATTGCATAGGAGCGGGGGTTTTACCCTATGCGCACCCAAAGGGTAGCGGTTGCGGGTTTCCCTTGTCATAAAAAAACAAGAAAGATGAAATTTAAAGTGATACATAGTAGAATGTTAAACCTGTAAATTTTTAGTCAATGTGTTCTGGAGCATTTGGCATCAAACCTTAACAATATGACTCAATGTAAATTTTTTCCATTTGAAGTAGTATTGGTCCTTTGAGCGAAAGACTACTGGAGTTCTCCATCTCTGCTTGATTATCTCATCCTTTCAAACACATCCAAGCGAGAGCTCATTCTAGCGCTGAATAAAACTGTGTTCTGTTCTGATACTATTATATTATTAGGACACAAATTTTGACTGTTCTTTTGAAATTGAAAGTACTTCCATTGGCTAACTAACTTTATAGCAAGAAACTGGTTTTTAAGTTGGACATATTTAAGTACACCAATTTATTTTCCCAGTATAAACAATGCTTTTATCTTCTTTTATTCCTTTACTGCTATTCAAGCTTTTAAGTTAGAAATCTTCAGAAGTATTGTATTATATGATCAATTCCTAGATGATATTCAGATCACCGATGCACTTTCTCCTAATCTTCTGCTTCTCCAAAGTACTCAGGTACTGATGATCTTGGATTGTTGAGTGACTTGTTGTAATTGCTAATACTAATCCTACAAGTTAAAGGGAGTGAGAGTAGAGATTAGGTAGTGGAGATAAAGCACCTCAAAGAAATTTTTATGAGTAGTCATCGTATAACATTATAACTCAAAAGAGGAAAGGAAGTTCTCATAGATTTGGAGAAATTTCCTAAAGCATTTGAATTGCTTCACTCTGAAGGGAAAACAAGGTATTTGTGAAATATCAGAATGATACATCTAAAGTATATCATATGCAATGATGGAAATTTTTCCTTTTAGATGCAAATCATTTGAATATTGCAGTTGGTAATAGTTGAACGGAGCCTAGAAGAACAAAATTAGTGATGCATAGGTTGATATGGATGTTCTTCTGAGGTGAGTGAGGGACCGTCTCAAATTGAAGTACTAAGGTTGGGCTTGGAAAATGGTCTCTAACTATGACAAGCCTCCAACTATAGAACTGGTAACAGTTGAATGGAGCTCTGTGAAAAAAAAAACTAGTGATGCATAGGCTGATATAGATGTTGTGCGAGGAACTGTCTCAAATTAAAAATACTATGGTTGGGTTAGAGAATGGTCTCTCACTGTAACAAGTCTATACTTCAAGCCTCCAAGGTATGCAACTCTTATGTTCCATCAAGGCATGCAACTATTCAGAACCTCTTTGTACTCAAAAGTATGTTCAAAAAGAGACATACCTCAATCCTGCTAATGAACCTCACGCGCAAACCCCGATGTTCAACAATTGATCTGTAGAGTTTGTCCTCAAAATATCCCTTCAAAGCTACTGGATCGAGTGCTTGAGATCTATGGATTTGGATGATAATTTGGGTGCTAATTCACGATAAAACAATGTTATGATCACAGGGATAGAGTAACAACTCACCTTCGATGTTTGGATTAGGCTCTAGGGTGTTTTATCTCCAAGAAGATCATCCAAAAGGAAGGGGAACAAAAATCCCGACCTAACATGTATTAATAGAGCACAGTCCAAAGCTGACCGGGAAGAGCAGGTCTGCATGCCACAATGGCCATCGCGTTGAACCTGACACCACGTCCCACTATACATCTCGGTGAATCTCAGTGCAATGGGCAGTGCGCCTCACTAAGGGGTCGTTTGGTAGAGTGTATTAACAAAAATAATGCATCATTATCTTTGTGTATTAGTAGTCCCTTGTTTGGTACACTTTTTCCTACTATGTATGACTAATGCTTGCATTAGTTATACACTCTATTGTGTATTGAGGAGTGTATTACTAATACCATGGATTTCTAGGTATTAGTAATGCAAAGGGATTTAATACATGCATTAACATGGTTAAAGACTCAACTACCTCTCAAAAGCAGTTTTACATCTTTTACGCCATATTGTGGAGGATATTTTTGTACAATGCATACTATTTTAATACATCAAACCAAACAATGCATAAAAAATAATCTATGCTTAACTAATGCAAGCATAACTAATACAAGCATTACTAATACACTCTATTTAACATTATTCTTATACACTCTACCAAACGACCCCTAAAGGTTTTGGGCACCCCACACTTCAAATACTTTCGATTTATTTTTATTTCTACACATTCACCGCGCCACACCGCCCGTCGTGGTGACTTTCAGTGCAATGGGCACTGCACTGCCCATTTCTCGAACACTTAGAAGAATTTTCAATGTTTGATTTATAGTAAACGCTCATAACTTTTTGTACAGTGTTCCGATCGGTGAATGGCTCGAATTGTTGGAACCCAAACTCGATTTCCTTAACTAGGTTAGATCTCACCTCCAATACGAAATTATTCAAGGTCCAGGTTGAATCACACACATTTAGCTAGTTCATACATAACCCAAACTTATGGATGTTACAAAGATGTTATCCTTGTGGCAGTAGTTATTGTTCCATCTCTGAAGCACCCTTATATGTTTGTAGTGATGACTTCTCTTGAAGTAGAAACTACACATCTCATTCAGTGGATTCAGTGGCTGTATTATGTTACTTTAGTCCTATTTTTCTATTAGAATATTTAGGAGATGCTTTCTAGGACCATGTTCATTGGCGGTTGCTTTGTTTATTTTGGGGCATCAACTATGTACCTGTTTAACGACACCTTTTCTGCAAACTTTCTTCCTTTTCTTTTTCTTTTTGAGAGGTAAACTATTTACCTCTTTATTGGCACCTTTATACAGACTTTTCTTCCCCTTTTGGCATTGAGAAGGTTAGGGTTGATTGAAACTGAATTTTTCATGCACTGACTTTTGGCAATTTCCCCGTATAATCATGCAGAAAGATGACACGTTTTATACTACCTCTCTAATAATACCAAAACAAGAATCAACCTCCAATTCTGTAAGTAATTAAACATTTGAAAATTGTTGTTTTATTCATGGCCAATTTGGTAAGCAGAACAAGATTCTAACTTATTTGTACTTACTGCTAGTGTCAAGCCCTACAAGAGGAGGAGATGTTTGCCATACTACATGGACAATCCCTCTTTCCAATCGGATGGATTCATGTAAGTTCTCTCTCTTTCTCAATTTCCTTTAATGTGCTTTGTATATATTTGGATGAGATTTCTCTAATTCCTATATGTAATGCTCATTAATCCTGAAATTAAGGTGATAAATAATTGAATGAGAGCTGAATTTTAAGCGACTTAATGCATTTGGCGTCAGACCTGTACATTACTTGTTAATGGAGAATTACGTAACTTACTGAATAGAATAGGGGAATCTAAATATACAACTATGCTATATACAATCTAGAGTGATAGCAAAAAACTTACGATGATATTAAAGAGTAAGGGGAAAAAGATCAATCCATCCGTAGTGGAGGAATTTTGGTAAATTTATCGTGAATATGACCTTCCCTTCCCATAAAGGGAGTTTCTTGTTCCGTTTCTAACAAGGATGATGAGCAACAATGACATGAATTCAATACTAATAAAAAAGGTAAGCCCACCGCTATGTTTCAATAACAATGAAGGGCTATTATACGAGAAGGAAAGGGCTTCAAGAGAGATTGTTAGATTGGATGGGTGTAGTCGATCGATCGAACTATGATGATTGAAATGAAGACAGATAACATGCTGCAAACTCTGGTTTGAGTTTCTATTGTCTTCCATAAAATGAGATTCAAGAGTTTTTCTGAGTAAGGTAACATATTCATCAGCACAAAGATTGTGCTGGCAACTGTAAAACACAAAGATTGACATTCAAGAGTTTGAAGAACCTTTAATCTGTTCATATGGGACTTTATGTTCTGTAACTTAAATAACATCGAGATGATTAAATATGTAAGAAAATCCTGAACTCCACTATTATAGAATCTTCAGAGAATGTGTTAGAGCTATTATATGTTTTGAGTTACAACAAGGATGATTTTTGTCTGTTGTAAGCTTCATCTTTAATAGTCTACAGGGAAACTTTAAATATGAACTGGCTAGTTCGAATTGATTGTTAAATTCAGTACTCTTATTTCCATTATCCTTTTGGTAATAACTGAAAACATGTAATTGAAAATCAACTTTTATTGCCATTGGCTTCCTTCTTTGTACTTTCCTATGTCTAGTTCACATGTTTCGGCAATTACATAGCTAAGGGCATGTAGGTCGGCATAACTTAATGTGTGACACTTCTATTATTTCTCCAGACACATCCGTCTCAGACCTGTTTCATGTCATCGATCGATTTGCACACTCAATATTCGTATCAGGTACGTTTACTCCTGATGGATTTATACCTTTATGCATTTCATTATTGGAGATAATTCAAACGTTGAGAATGTAATGGATGAGATTACTTGATTCTGTAGGTTTGTGATTGATAGAACCGAGTTACAGGTATAACTTGTGGTACAAGATATGATTGGAATATCTAAAAGTATTTCTGTAAATTATAGATAATATGTGTGTCAAACTAAGAAAATGTTCCTTTTCTAGCTTCCACACTTTCACTTACAAGTAAAACTGAATATTTCTATCACTGAAATCAGCATAGTTCCACCATTCTTGGAAACACTGAAGAAGGTAGGCAAACCAAAACTATAGTGCAATGCGTGATTTAGTAGAAATAGTAACTTTGGTCTTTGAATTTGTACAGGCGTACAGGACCACAGAAATTTAAATCTAAAATATTGGGAGTTCATATGTTTATGCTGCACTTTTAAACTGAGAGATCAAGAATTTCTGCCTACCAAATGAACATATGATTCATTGTACTTAGTTACTTTTGAAACACTAACCTTGATTAATTGTGAATAGGGAGTCATTACTCGTGTTTTATGTGCTATAAATTTAGAAGAGCAAATTTAAATGAAATTAGCAGTCTCATACTTCTTTTTTTCTTTCCATTTTTACCATCCACCTGTCAACTCAATAGTTCACTTTAACAACTTCAATTTATAGGACAATGTCTCAACTTCAAATTTATACCTATGTCCATTTGGAATTGAACTCATCAAGCCATTTCTAGTGTTAAGACTGTCGAGAAGTCACATAAATTATATCAACTAAAGCAGTTTTCTTAACATTCTACATTTAACATATTGCATTCAGCATTACTTCCCAAGATTTCCCACTAAACTTATGTGAAGTTATTGTGCTGCAATACACTTTGGCATTGTTATAATTTACCTCTGTGCTTTTTGCTGTATCTTTTCACTTCCTGATATTTATTTTTTAGGTCATGGTACCTGAGGCTATTGCAATTGTCATGGCTCCTACCGATACATCAAGGTCTTTTTCTTGTTCTTAGCTCATTTAGTCCAAGAGTACTTGTCAAGTTGAGAGTAGTTTGAAACACAGAGATAGCCATAACTTATTTATCTTTATTTGGAATGTGTTAGGGCATACGGAATATTTCGGCTATCTGACGGTGGAAGGAAAATCCTCAAGGACTGCCCAGAGAAAGGATTTCATCTTCATAAAGAACCGGTTGATGGGAGTCCCCTCTACGGGGATTGCTCCAATGTCTATATTAATTCATGTCTAAGACTAGAGATATTTGATTTACGATGACCAGATGAAGTAGAATTTATGTCCTGTTGAAATGCAAGCAGATTGTCAAAACTACAGTGATAAAAGAGCTAGTAAATGTTGTAATGATTTAAGATAAATAAAAATCTGTGGTGTTGGTGGAGGGAAAATTGAATCTTACACTGTCGTATAGGGGCACAATTTAATCATTTTGTATATTGTAATGGTAGATCTGGTCCACTTAGTGCAACCACTGGTGTAGATTATATGGATCATCTCTTTTTTTATATTTTAAATTTAATTCTTGGTATATTTTTCTTATGCTAAAAGATGAAATAAGTAAACTACACAAATCACACTACTTTAGATCCTAATTACTAGAATTTACGATAGTTTTTTATATTACTTTTTATACCATTTTTCGGCCTTTGGATACATGTACCATTATATGTCAGATGCATGTATCCATAAAATTTAATAGGCGAAATATACTATTTATTACATTTGAATTAAAGACTTGTAACTTATTTCCTTCATTAAATGAGTTAATGATGAATAATTAACAATCAAAATGGAGTTAATATCTCAGACGGTTACTCAATTTATTTTGAATAGTTTACCTAGAAAGTCACTCAACTTTGAGTTGTTTACTTGGAAAGTCACTCAACTATTGGTGTTTCACTTTAACAGTTGATTGAAGCTCTGTACTAGTGATTCATAGGCTGGTATAGATGTTGTGCGAGTAATTGTCTCAAATTAAAAATACTATGGTTGAGTTATAGAATGATCTCTCACCGTAACAAGTCTATACTTCAACTCTCCAAGTTATGCAACTATTATGTTCCATCAAGGCATGCAACTATTCAAAACCTCTTTGTAGTCAAAAGTATGTTAAAAATGAGACATACCTCAATCTTGATAATGAACCTCACGCGCAAACCCCGACGTTCAACAATTTATATGTATAGTTTGTCCTCAAAATATCCCTTCAAAGCTATTAAATCGAGTTCTTGAGATCTATAGCTTTGGATGATAATTTGTGGGTTAATTCGCGATAAAACAATGTTAGAATCACAGGGATAGAGTAAGAACTCACCTTCGATGTTTGGATTAAGCTCTAGGGTGTTTTCTAGTAAACTCATACTAGTAGTGTCAAGCCCTACAAGAGGAAGATATGTTTGCCATACTACATGTATTGGGACAAAATGAGTAACATATATTATTTGAAAATTATGTAAAGAGTACTATAAATCACAATAATTAATAATTTAAAATATTTACAAATCATAAAAATAATAATTAACTCTTCAAATTTCATCAGTGTCACATAAATTGAGACAAAATGTGTAACATATATTGGATCCGTGCTGGCATAGACTCCAATATCTAGAGAAAAATCTGAAATAATGAATTGATTTGAGTTTTAGATATGATTACTGTATAAATATTTTTTTGTAGGTACTTGATTTTTGTATAAGCAAAAATTGAAACTATGCTTGAGTAATTGAGTAATCAGCAATCAACATGAGTCGTGTCAGATTTTTCGCAAGTCTTTTAATTTTATTTTTATTTGCAGCAGCCTAAAAGTGGAGTACTACCTACCTGGGGCCCATTGCTAGCTAATTCAAATGCCTTTTTACAAATTTATTTCTCAATTATTAAATATGGAAGTTATTTGAAAATTTAAAAATAAATCTACTGAAAATATTCTTCTCAATATGTATAAATGTGAATTATTTTGTTATTTTATTTTTAATTTATTTAATTTGAATTTGAATTTATTTATCTTATGTTTAATAAATTATATATTTAAAAATTATGTAAAAAGTACTATAACTCACAATAACTGAAAAGATATACAAAAATTTAGTTACTCTCAAAATTTCACTTTGCCACACATAAAGAATAACATATAATTATCAATGGCTATATGACCTCTACCCCTGCCAGGTGCATGATCCCCGCCTCTAACTCGATCTCTGCCAGGTCCACGATCCCTGCCTCTGCCTCGATCTCTAACAGGTGCCTCGATATGGAGGTGGGGGACCCTTACCAGCCCTTATCTCAGCAAATTTGTGCATCGTTATTGCATACTTAGCAGAAGTGCAATCACAAACAGAAGCAGGTACACAAGTCACTACATAAACAAGCAAACAATTTAAGTAAAAAAACACAATAAAAAAGCAAACAAAACAAGGAAAAGGAATAAAAATAAGTTACAAGATCTTTCTTGATTAGAAATAGGCGTCATGAACTGTTGACCAACCCAACATCCTTCATCAGCCTAAAAGAAAACAACTAATCAATTAATATCAGTTAACCCAAGAAAAATAGAAAAATTGATTCAAATTGACCATTACATCTGCACAAATAAGTACTCCAAAATCATCCTTTGGAGCAATGCGAACAATCTGCAACAAGGGAATTGAATCAGGCAACCATCAATGTCAACAAAAAATAAAAAAATTACAAAGACAAACAGTGATATCAACAATTTTTTTATAGATACAAACACAAATAGAACAAAAATAAAAAAATTAGTAGAGACAAACATTGATATCAACAAAAGTTAAAAACTTTTACAGAGACAAATATAAACACAACAAAAAAAAAATAACAGAGACAAACAATGATATCAACAAAAATAAAATAAAATTACAAAGACAAATAGAAATATAACAAAAAAAATAAAAAATACAGACACAAACACTGATATCAACAAAAATAATTTTTTTTTACAGACAATCATAAACAGAACAAAAATTTTAAAAATTTATAGAGAAAAACACTGTTGTCAACAAAAATCAATTTTTTTAACAGAGATAAACATAAAGCGAACAAAAATCAAAAGTTTTTACATAGACAAACATAAACAAAACAAAAATCATTTTTTTTTATAGAGACAAACACTAATATCAACAAAAATTTAAAAAAATTACAGTGGCAAACGGTAATATCAACAAAAATAATTTTTTTACAGAGACAAATAGTAATATCAACAAAAATAAAAAACTTTTATAGGGAGACGAACAATAACAAAGAACATATCCATACAAATATGGCAAAAGAAGACAATGCAGAAACAAGCTTAAAAATAATAGAGTGTAAATTAGAAACAAATAACTTAAATGAAATATGTAATCACTATCCTTGAAAAGAGCAATGTGAGATAGCCGAGAAAGAAAATGATATGAAAAAAAGTCTTTCGACCGATTTGCGTCATTTACAAAAATTAATAGAAAACTTTTTGCAAATATGATAATTATATATCTATTTATTTTTACCATTTAGGTTAGTCAAAAATATGTATACCTCCCTATCAACCTCTTTCCTTAATTAACATATTCGATTTGGGCCTAAAACTACTCACCAACAATCTAGTTTTTTTTCTATGTAAAATAGTCAATTTGAGCCTAAAGATACTCATTAGCTCTTTTCCTTTCCTATCTAAAGTTGTTGATTTGGGCCTAAAATCTTAATAGGTAATTAATATAATTGTTTTCTATCTAAAGAAGTCGATTTGTGCCTAAAATTTTAATTTTACATAAAAAGTAATATAAATCACAATAACTGATAATTTAAAATATCTTAAAGATATACAAAAATTAAGTTGACTCTCAAAATTTCACTTTGCCACATACATTGGCACATAAAGAATAACATATAATTATCAATGGTTACATGACCCCTACCACTGCCAGGTGCATGATCCATGCCTCTTACTCGATCCCTGCTAGGTCCACGATCCCTGCCTCTGCCTCGATCTCTGTCAGTTGCATCAATGTGGACGTGAGGGAACCTTACCAGCTCTTACCTCAACAAATCTACGCATCATAATTGCATGCTTGGTTATGTTTATTAGTAGTCTTAAGTAATTTTTATTAATATGATGTTGTTATATTTTTTTTAAATGTCGACACTGCTTACAAAAAATTCTACGTACGCTACTGACTTGACATAAATACAATCACAAACGGAAGTAGGTACACAAGTCACTACATAAACAAGCAAACAATTTAAGTTAAATGACACATTAAAAAAGCAAACAAAACAAGCAAAAGGATTAAAAATAACTTACAAGATCTATCTTGATTAGGAATATGCGTCATGAACTGTTGACCAGCCCAACATCCTTCGTCAGCCTAAAAGAAAACAATTAATCAATTAATATTAGTTAACCCTAGAAAAATTGATTCAAATTGACCATTACATCTGCACAAATAAGTACTCCAAAATCATCCTCTGGAGCGATGCGAACCATCTACAAAAAGGGAATTAGAGTTTTAAATCAGGCAGCCATAAATATCAACAAAAATAAAAAAATTAGAGAGACAAACACTGATATCAACTAAATTTTCATATAGGAACAAACAGTGGCGGAGCCAGGATTTTCAGTAAGGGGGTTCAAAATCTAAAAAAATAGACACACGAAGTAGCCGAAGGGGGTTCGACATCTACTATATATACTTAAAAAATTATTTTAACCATGTATAAATCATATAATTTTCCGCCGAAGGGGGGCCCCTCATTGTAAGGTGGCTCCGCCACTGGGAACAAACATAAACATAACAAAATAAAAAAAAATTAATAGAGACAGACACTAATATCAATAAAAATCAAAAACTTTTACAGAGACAAACATAAACAGAAAAATAATGCATAGACAAACACTGATATCAACAAAAATTAAATATTTTTACAAAGACAAACATAAATTGAACAAAAATAAAATAAAAATACAGAGCCAAACACTAATATCAAGAAAATAAAATAAAAAATACAGAGACAAGCATAAATAGAACAAAATCATTTTTTTTTAGACAAACACTGATATCAACAAAAACAAAATTGTTTACAAAGATAAACATAAACAGAACAAATTTTTTTTTTTTTTAAAGAGACATACATAAACATAACAAAAATAAAAAACTTTACAGAGACAAACACTGATATCAACAAAAAAATGTAAATTTTTAAACAGAAAACAGTAATATCAACAAAAATAATTTTTTTTTACAAAGACAAACAGTAATATCAACAAAAATAAAAAAAGTTTACTGAGACAAACAGTAACAGAGAACTTATCCATACAAATATGATCAAAGAAGACAATATTAAAAACAAACTTAAAAATAATAGAGTGTAAATTTAAAACAAATAACTTAAATTAAATACATAATCGCTTGCCT